TCAGAGACATTCCTTGTTCATGACAGACTGTCAGCTTTTGCATCAGTAAATGTACATCATTGACATTTTAAACATCAGAGGATGTGAGATGTTTACCTGGGCTGATGCTGTCTATCATCGTCTCTGCTCTCATCCCCACCGTCATGGGGTTTTGGCTTTGTTTGGCTTCAATCTTACCTTTCCCACTGTCTGCACTTTGTGTCCACCAACACCAGAAGAAGGCAAACATTTGGAGACTGACAACATTGTAGAGAAATACTGTCAGGTGATAGAGGACTGATGAAGGGAGAATATAAAACAAGGTGAAGAGAAATAGTCCAACCGTTAGTAAAACCGCTTAGAAGAGAGCCTGAAGCAATGAAAGAGAGGTGAAAAGAATCGTTGAACAACATGGAAAAGGACCCGATGACTGACTGGGCGAGTGCTTCAGTGACAGATGTTGGTCCTGGAACCCACTGCCGTTCATCTTGTCACCACCAGATGGCGGCAGCACCGCCCCCATATAGCAATGTCTCCACTTATTAGACTTGAGTTTATATTCAACAACTTGCATTTATATCGCGTCCTTCACGCGGGGCAGCGTCCCAGAGCGCTTGACAGAGGTGGAGTCTGACCCCGATCCAGGGGTAGAGGGAGAGGAGAGGTGACAGTGAACACGATCAAAATGTAAGGTCATTGGATGGGATTTGAAAGTGGGGAGGGAGGGGGCAAGGGGCGGAGGGATTGAGGGAGGGATCCAGAGCTTCGGGGCTCAGTGCCTTCATTGCCTTCAGCAATTTAACACCAACAAACAGATTCAATGTGTTTCCTTACCAGTCAGTGAGAGGGGAAGCACAAGCCATAGGACCTGAAGAAAGTGTTTCCACCTCATCTTTTAGGACCTTCACAATGAGATCAGAACTGGTTACGACACAGCAAATCAGATCATTACACACAGAGATTTGTGTTTGTACATCTATCTATACTAATCAGATGAAATGTTTGTGTGAGTTTGTCTGTGTGTCAAACCAATAGCACAATAACCGATTGACACAGAGACATGATTATAACCCATCAGAAAGGTGTTGTAAGTTGGAGTGTCATGGGCATATTTGTTTTCATAAACTCCTATCGTTGATGACCTATATTTTAAAAATACTTTAATTAAGCCCCAAAATATGAGGTATGACTCGTATTGTGCAACAAGGTTTCGACAGAGAAAATCACACACTGTTCTAGAGAGATACATCTATGCTCTTCGATCGTGCCTTCAGCTCCCCTCTCGATTCTCCACCCCTCCTCGCTCCCTCCCTTCCCTACGCTCAAACTGACCATTTCCCCCCCTGCTCGGGTCCCGACCCAACTGTCCAGTGTCATGGGACGTCATCCCGACATGAAAGGCGCTCTATAAATGCAATCTTGTTGTTGTTGTTGTAATATATTGTGAAACAAATTAGTGACAGAGAAAACCAAAGGTATTTTGGGTGAGGAATCTCCTATATTTATATAAAGTATAATAATATAATATAAAGTATTATAATATAAAATATAATAATAATATAAAAGTATAACAGTACACTATAAACTGCCAGTGGTCGCTTGAGCACCTCCACACCTACTGCCTCCCCTTTTCACAGACCAGAACTGACATTTACTCCAGAGTCACTCTGGAGGCAAATAACAATCCAAAGACGCTGATTTCCACCGTCCATCACCATCTCTGTGCACCCACTCAACCATCTGTTTGGCTGCATTATCCCCTCCCCCCATCCCATGTCCCTTTCCACCTCACACAGACCATCCACAATGCCTCCTCCCTCCACCACGGCTCCTGCCACTTTCCCCTCCTTACACTCCTTTGCCCCCAATTCTCCCCTCTCTCTCTCAGTCTCAGTCACCGAGAGGGAGGTCACCACCTGCTGCCTCGACCCCCTCCCCACCCATCTCTGGTCACTCAACTTCCCCTTCTCTCCTCCCTGCTAACCGACCAGTCTCTCTCCACAGGCTGCTCCACTCCGCCTGAAAACCGCTGTAATGGTTTAAATATACGGTCAATTCACTTTACAGTCTATTCTGTGAAGCTCTTTGAGATGTTGAGAAGACGTGGAAAGCGCTATATCAAATGCAAGAATTATTATATATTACATAATGGGCTCCTCAAAAAAAACCATCCTCGAACTCTCTCATCTCTCACACTACCATCCCATCTCCAACCTCCCAAAAACTTCCCGGCCAAAATCCTACAATGCATTGTGTGAGGCCAATCCCCTCTTTGAGCCCCTGATGTCTGGTTTTCACTCTGCCATCAGTACAGAGACGGTGCTTTTCAAGGTCACAAATGACATTCTCTCTATCTGTGACCAGGGCTCCCTCTGCCTCCTCATCCTCCCTGATCTCTCCGCCACAGTCGGCACAGTTGACCATGGCATCCTCCTCCACCACCGTCCTCCCTCATCTACCTTAGTTATCTATATGCTCCTCTAATGTCATCCATTCACATGGGGTAAACTTCCACATGTATGTGATGACACACAAATCTACTTTGCCTCCTCCATTACCAGCTATATCAAATGCAAAGATGATTATTATTATTATGATTCCAGGTCCCCAATGTCCTATCAGGTTGTCGGGCACACATCAAGGCCTGAATGAGTGTAAACTTCCTGCAGCTGAATATGAACAAGATGGAAGCCATACTCCTTGTCTGTCAATGTCTTCACTTCTGTGGATCGAAATTCCTCAAACTCTCTGGTCTCTCCTTCAGTCTCAGTGCACAATTTAGGCATCCAGTTCAACCTCCAACTGCCCTTCCTCCCCCACATCCAATCCCTGACCAGGACCTCTTTCTTCTACCTCCACCAAATTGTTTGCCTCCGACGGTATCTTATCACAAATGCAGTCGAAAACCTTGTGCATGTGTTTGTCACCTCCTCTTGGAATACTCCAACACACTCCTCACCGGCCTCCCCAGGTCCACCATTCAAAAGATCTCCAGCTCATTCAGAACTCTGCCACAGAAAACTGACCTGGACCAAACTCCATACCAACATGTCACCGGTTCTGTCCAGGCTCCACTGACTCCCATCACTGAATGGATCAACTTCAAGATATTCACACTCATGTTGAAAACTTCCCCGGCCCACTCACCCCCCAATCCACTCCACATCCGCTTGACTGGCACCGGTCTCCCACTCGTCCCTCGCACCCTCTGCCCCACCATCAGTGGTTGTGCTATTAGCCACTACACCCTGAAACTCTGGAACACTGTCCCTCAATCCCTCCATCGTGCCCATTCCCCTTTTTCAAGTCCACCTGAAAATCTTCTTCTTTGACTGTGCTTACGGCAGCTCCCATCCCCAACCACCGACCAGCTCGGAGTCAGGCTGCACCCGTTAAGCGCTGTGAAACACTACCCTGCGTGAAGGATGCTATATAAGTGCAAGTTGTGGCTGTTATAAAGTATGATAATCAAATATAAAATAAAATATAAAGTATAATAATACTGAAATTTACATTAAATAGTGGATCCTTTGGTTGCAAGTGTAGCTGCGACAGATACAGCCGGTAATTAATGTGTGTTTCAGGGGGTGAGGGTTAGGGATGTGTGTATCAGAGGATGAGGAGTGTGTGGAGACTGTGCATAAGGATTGGACATAAAATGACACATTATTTATTGTAAATTGATCTCGTATTTTGCAAGTGAATGACAATATGTTGGATACTGATATCCACACAGACGTGACCTTGGTTTATTGAAGGATAAAGATTGTTGCAATGAGTGAGAAATGTTACGGATTATAAAGCTGTCACTGAAAATACACAGTGTTTATACACAGTGAGACGCGGCCGCTCACTGGGGAACAACACAGCACCTGTTTATAGATATAAAAGTGATTTGGGAGATTACAGTGAGATTCTGAGCACAGCCCTGACTGTGAGACTGGGCATTGCTGGAGAGAAAGATATCAGCGATATATATCCCTGTCTCAGAGCGTGTGAGTCACACACTGGATGGCAAGTCAGATTCTCCCAACACAGATGTGAGGGTGTGTGTGTGGGGGGGATGTGAGGGTGTGTGTGGGGGGTGATGTGAGAGTGTGTGGGGGGTGTTATGTGTGGGTGTGTGTTTGGGGGATGTGAGGGTGTGTGTGGGGGGGATTTGAGAGTGTGTGTGGGGGTATGTGAGGCTTTGTGTGGAGGGGGATGTGAGTGTGTTTGTGGGGGAGATGTGAGGGTGTGTGTGTGGGGGGGAAATGTGAGAGTGTGTGTGGTGGGTTATGCGGGGGTGTGTGGGGGGATGTGAGAGTGTGATGGCATGGGGGGGGTGCGGGTGTGATGTGAGGGTGTGTGTGTAATGGGGATGTGAGGGTGGGGTGGGGGGGGTGCGGGTGGGATGTGAGGGTGTGTATAGGGCGATGTGAGGGGTGATGCCCATTTTAAAGTGCTCACCCTTCCCCCCCACCCCCCAAGAATTTGTTCACTGCCAATGTATCAAGTTAATGGCTGAGGGTTTTTGCTCCTCATTATAATGGACAAATTTTCCTCCTCATTAACTGTCACCGGCAGATTGTCAGAGGATCAGGATTGTCCCCATCAATATTATACCCGGGACTGAACAGAGGATAAAGTTTCTCAGTGAGAGTTTGGGTGAAAGTGTGGAGATGAGCCATGTTGTCAGCGTTGTAAAATGACACCTGTCCCCCCTCATAGTCCATGTAAATCCCGACCTTCCCGGGTCTCACTGTCAGGGGCAGAGGGGTGGGGGGTGACGTCAGAGCATTATAGGTCCCGTCCCACAGCTCCACCCCCCGGACCCCACCCTCTGATGACCACCTCATTGGTTTTTTCCTGTTGACAGACTCTGTGGCCAATCCCACAATCCACAATGACTTGTTGCCCACCTGCACCTCCCAGTAATGTCTCCCCGATGTGAAGCCCTCAGATCCCAGGACAATGGGATAGTAACTAAACCTCTTCGGGGAGTCAGGGAGCGGCTGCTCTTCGTCTCCGAGTCTCACACTGGTCAGGTCCTCAGACAGGATGAGCCGGGGATGGGCTGTATCAGGATCCAGAGTGACTGTAACTGGAGGGAGAATCAGACCATTAATGTCGGACACATTTACAATCATAAATAAGATGATCTTTAGCGTCGTCACCGGGAGAGAAGCCTTTGTGTAAAACATCGACATCTCCTGGGAACAGAATCCAGAATAAAAGGCTGAGAGTCTGTGTGTCTGTGGGGGAGGGGTTTGTGTGGGGGGAATGTGTGGGTGTGTGGGGGTGGGAATGTGTGGGTGGGTGTGGGGTCGTGAGGTTGTGCATCAGGGGCTGAGGGTGTGTGTTGGGGGGCTGAGCGTGTATGTGTAGGGGTGTATGTGGGGGGGCTGAGGGTGTGTGTGTGAGTGTGTATGTGGGGGGGGCTGAAGGTGTGTGTGTGGGTAGTCGTGAGGGTGTGTGGGGGGGCTGAGGGTGTGTGTGGGGGGCTGAGGGTGTGTCCGTTGGGGGGTCTATGAGGTAATTAAGTGGGGGTAAGTGAGGGTGTGTGTGGGGGGAACGTGAGGGTTCATGTGGGTGGGACATGAGGGTTCGTGTGGGTGGGACATGAGGGTGCGTGTGTACTGGAGATGAGCGTGTGGGGGGGACTTGAGGGTGTGGTTGGGATGTCGTGAGTGTGTGTGTGGGGGGGAAGTTGAGGGTGCGGGGGGGAGGTGAGGGTGCGTGCGGGGGGTACGTGAGGTTGCGCGTGTGGGGGACGTGAGGTTGCGCGTGTGGGGGGACGTGAGTTTGCGTGTGGGGGGGGCGGAAAAGAGGGTGCGTGTGGGACGTGAGGGTGTGTGTGGGGGGGACGCGAGTGTGCGTGTGGGGGGAAGTGAGGCTTCGTGTGTAGGGGGACGAGAGGGTGTGTGTGCGGGGAACAAGAGGGTGTGTGTGGGGGTGAGGTGAGTGTGTTTGTGGGGGGATGTGCTGGTGTGTGGGGGGGTACGTGAGACAAGGTGCATGTGTGGGGGGGTACGTGAGGGTAGTGTGTGGGTGAAGTAAGGGTACATGTGGGAGCGACGTGAGGATGCGTGTGGGGGGGACGTGAGGGCATGTGAGTGTGCGTGTGGGGGGATCATGAGGGTGCATGTGGGGTGTCGTGAGGGTGCGTGTGGGGGGGTCGTGAGTGTGTGTGTGTGGGATGTGAGTGTGCGTGTGGGAGGGAGGTGATGGTGTGCGTGGTGGGGACATGAGTGTGCGCGTGGGGAGATGTGAGGGTGTGCGTGGGGAGGACGTGAGGGTGCATGTGGGCTGGAGGTGAGCGTGCGTATGGGGGGGTGGGGGGGAAGTGACGGTGTGTGGGGCTTAAGTCAGGTTGTGTATGGGGGGGTTGTGAGGGTGCGTGTGGGGGGAAAGTGAGGGTGTGTGTCGGGGGGTCATGTGGGTGCGTGCGGGAGCGACGTGAGGGTGCGTGTGGTGGGGGAAAACGTGCGGGTGCGTTTCAGGGGCTCGTGAGTGTGCGTGTGGGGGGAAGGGACGTGAGGGTGCGTGTGGGATTGACGTGAGGGTGCGTATGGCGGCGAGTAGAAGTTGAGTGTGGGGGGCTGTGAGGGTGCATGTGAGGGTGCATGTTGGGGGGATGTGAGGATCCGTGTGGTGGGGACGTGAGTGTGTGTGCAGGGAATGTGAGGGTGTGTGTGGAGGAACATGAGGGTGTGTGGAGGAACATGAGGGGGCGAGTGGGGGACACAAATGTGCATGTGGGGGGGACGTGAGGTTGCTTGTGGGGGCGACTTGAGGGTGCTTGTGGGAGTGACGTGACGGTGTCTGGGGGGGATGTAAGGATGCATGTGTGGGGAACGTGAGGGTGTGAGTGGAGGGGACGTGAGGGTGCGTGTGGGGGGAACGTGAGGGTGTGTGTGGGGGTGATGAACAGGTATGTGTGTGCGGGGGACGTGCAAGTGCGTGTGGGGTGGTCGTGAGGATGTGTGTGGGGGGAGGTGAAGGTGTGTGTTGGTGGGTGCGTGTGGGGGGGAACGTGAGGGTGCGTGTGGTGGGGACGTGAGGGTGCGTGTGGTGGGGACGTGAGGGTGCGTGTGGTGGGGACGTGAGGGTGCGTATGGGGTGAACATGAGGCTGCTTGATGGTTCGTGTGGAGGCAACATGAGGTTGCGTGTGCAGGGGATGTGAGTGTGCATGTGGGGGGGACATGAGGCTGCGTTTGCGAGGGACGTGATTGTGCTTCGTGTGGGGGACATGAGGGTGCACTTGGGGGAACGTGAGTGTGCATGTGGAAGATAGTGAGGGTGCGTGTGGGGGATGTGAGAGTGCGTGTGGGGGATATGAGGGTGTGGGGGGGGGACGTGAGAGTGTGCGTTTGGGGGATTTGAGGGTGCATGTGTGGGGGATATGAGGGCGCATGTGGGGGGGACGTGAGAGCGTACGGGTGGGGGGACACGTGAGGGTGTGTGTGGTGGGGAAGTGAGGGTGCGTGTGGGCTACGTGAGGGTGTGTGTGGGGGGCTGTGAGGGTGCGTGTGGGGGACATGAGGGTGTGGGGGGGGGACGTGAGAGTGTGCGTTTGGGGGATTTGAGGGTGTGCGTGGGGGGGTCATGAGGGTGTGTGTGGGGGGCGCGTGAGCGTGCATGTGGAGGGGGAGGCGTGAGGATTAGTGTGCGGGGGATGTGAGGGTTCGTGTGGGCGGGGGAGCGTGAGGGTACGTGTGGGGTACACGAATGTGCATGTGGGGGGGACGTGAGGGTGCGTGTGGGGGGGACGTGAGGGTGCGTGTGGGGTGGATGTGAGGCTGCGTGTGGGGTGGATGTGACGGTGCCTGTGGGAGGGACGTGAGGGTGCGTGTAGGGGTGATGTGAGGGTGCGTGTGGGGGTGATGTGAGGGTGCGTGTGGGGGTGATGTGAGGGTGCCTGTGTGGGGGACGTGAGGCTGAGTGAGGGTCAAGACATGGTGCGTGTGGGGCTGACGTGAGGCTGTCTGAGGGTGCGTGTGCGGGGGACATGAAGGTGTGTTTGCAGGGGACGTGAGTGTGCTTCGTGGGGGGGACGTGAGGGTGCGCGTGGGGGAATGTGAATGTGCGTGTGGAGGAATGTGAGGGTGCGTGTGGGGGATGTGAGGGCTCGTGTGCGGGGGACATGAGAGTGTTTGGGTGGGGCGGAAATGAGGCTGCGTGTGGTGGGGACGTGAGGGTGCATGTGGGGGATGTGAGGGTTTGTGTGGGGGGGGCTGTGAGGGTGCGTGTGGGGGACATGAGTGTGTGTGAGGGGTACGTGAGAGTGCATGTGGGGGGCGCGTGAGCGTGCGTGTGGGGGGGGATGTGAGGGTTAGTGTGGGGGGAAGCGTGAGGCGCGTGAGGGGGTAGGTAGTGTGAGGGTGCGTGTGTGGGGGACGTGAGCGTTCGTGTGGAGGAAATGAGGGTGCGTGTGGGGGACACGAATGTGCATGTGGGGGGCACGTGAGGGTGCCTGTGTTGGGGACATGAGCGTGGGTGTGTCGGGGACGTGAGGGTGCGTGTGGGGGGTGACGTGAGGGTGCGTATGGGGGAGACGTGAGGCTGCGTTTGGGGTGGACGTGAGGCTGTGTGTGGGGGGGACATGAGTCTGTGTGTGGGGGGACGTGAGGGTGCGTGTGGGGGGGACGTGAGGCTGTGTGTGGGGGGGACGTGAGGGTGCATGTGGGGGGGACGTGAGGGTGCGTGTGGGGGGGACGTGAGGGTACGTGTGCGGGGGACGTGATGGTGTTTGTGAAGGAATGTGAGTGTGCGTGTGTGGGTGAGTGCGTGTGTGGGTGAGGGTGCATGTGGGAGGGATGTGCGGCTGCTTGTGGGGGGCACGTGAGGCTCGTGTGAGGGGGACGTGATGCTGCTTGTGGGGGGATGTGAGGCTGCGTGTGGGGGGGACGTGAGGGTGTGTGTGGTGGGGGACGTGAGGGTGTGTTTGTGGGGGTTGATTGGAGGGTACCTGTGCGGGTGTAAGTGAGGGTGCAAGTGGGGGTGTCGTGAGGGTATGTATGTGGGGGACGTGGGGGTGCGTGTGGGGCGGAAGTGAGGGTGCGTGTGGCGGCCCATGAGGGTATCTGTGGGGGGTCATGAGGGTGCGTGTGGGGGGACGTGATGCTGCTTGTGGGGGTGTCGTGAGGGTATGTATAGGGGGGACATGAGGGTGCGTGTAGGGGGGGAACTGAGGGTGCATGTGGGGCCCCATGAGGGTATCTGTGGGGGGGTCATGAGGGAGTGTGTGGTGGGGACATGAGGGTGCTTGTGGGGGGGACGTGATGGTGCGTGTGGGTGGAGGTGAGTGTGTGCGTGGGGTGGAGGTGAGGGTTTGTGTGGGGGGGACGTATGGGTGTGTGGGGGTCAAGACAGCGTGCATGTGGGGAGGTCGTGAGGGTGCGCGTGGGGGACGTGAGGGTGTGTGCGGCTGATGAACAGGTGCGTGTGGGGGACGTGAGGCTGTGTGGTGGCGTAATGACGGTACGTATGGGGGGTATGTGAGGGTGCATTTGGGGGGCTCATGATGGTGCGTGTGGGGGAGAGGTGAGGGTGCGTGTGGGCAGTACGTGAGGGATAGGGAGCAACTTAGGGAAATTTTCATCAGTAGAGAATTGGTGCCGGGAAACTGTGAGCACTAAACAGTGACGGATCCCCCGGTCCGGATGGTTTGCATCACAGGGTTTGAGAAGAGGAGCGTATGAGATAGTGGAGGCCCTGTGTCTGATCTTCCAAAATTCCTTGGATTCTGGAGCAGTGCCCATGGACTGGAAGATCACAAATGTCACACCACTGTTTAAAAAAGGTGGAAAGGAAAAGATGGGGAACTATAGACCAATTAGTCTCACATCAGTGATGGGAAACATTTTAGAATCGTTGACTAAGGATGTGGTTGTGTGGTATTTAGGGCACAATATAATTAGGCCGAGTCAACACGGCTTTACAAAAGGGAAGTCATGTTTGACAAATCTCAGAGAGTTTTTTGAGGACATTTCCAGTAAACTGGATATGGGTGAATCAGTGGATGTGGTCTATTTGGACTTCCAGAAGGCATTCGATAAGGTGCCGCATAAAAGGTTAGTCCAAAAGATAAGGGCCCATGGAATTGGGGACCATATTAACGTGGATTGGGGAATGGTTAACGGGTCGGAAACACAGATTAGGGATAAACGGATCTTTTTCGGATTGGTGGGATGTGACCAGTGGAGGGCCACAAGGATCAGTCCTTGGGCCTCAGCTATTTACCATCTACACCAACGATCTGATGTGGACATCGAAGTTAATATATCTAAATTTGCGGATGACACAAAACAAAACGAGGAGGAAGTGTCAACACAGAGGACGACATTAAAAACAATGCAGCGAGACATAGAGAGGTGAGGTGACTGGGCAGGTAGGTGCCGATGAAGTACAATGTAGGGAGTGCCAAGTCATCCGCCTCAATAGCAAAAACAGTAGAGTGGGTTATCTTTTAGAAGGGGAGAGATTGGAATGTGTCAGTGTCCAGAGGGACTCGGGTGTTCTTGTACACCAGTCACAGAAAGTTAGTCTGCAGGTGCCGGTCTCACCTCCATTACGATTCATAAAATCCAGGTCATCCAGAATTCTGCCGCCCACTTTCTCACCCGCACCAAACTCCGCTCCCCGATTACCCCAATCCTTGCCAGACTGCACTGGCTGCCTGTCCCAGATCCCTCCATCTTGTCTTCAAATCCCTCCACTCCTCTGCCCCTACCTTTCTGACCTCTCTCCTCACAACAGTGCCCGTTGCCTTCGCTTCACCGGGTCTGGCCTCCTCCTTGTCCCCCGAATCCTCCGCTCCACCATTGGCAGCTGTGCCTTCAACCACTATGCCCTGAGGCTCTGGAACTCCTTTCCTCACTCCCTTCATCTTGTGCCCTCCCTTCCTGCTTTCAGGTCTCGGCTAAAGACCTTTCTTTTCGACCGTGCCTTTGGTCACCTTCTTCCCCCTCACTTGACACCAGGATCTGTTCCTGTGAAGCGCTCTGAGACGCCATCCAGTATGGAGGGCACTATACAAATCCAAGCTGTTGTTTGTCAGGATGTGTCTGAGGGGCAGGTGAAGGTGTGTGTATGTGGACGGGGAGGAGAGGATGTGTGTGGGGGATGTGACTGTATGTTTTTGTGGTAGAGGGTGAGATTGTTTGTGTGTGTGTGGGAGGGTGGGTGGGGGGGGGGGGGGTGTGAGGGTCTGTGTGGAGGGGTATCATCTAGAATTCTGCAGCTTGTGTCCTCTCCCAAACCACTTTCCATGACCCTATCACCCCCACCCTCGCCCGGCTCCACTGACTCCCCATCCTCCACAGGAAAGAGTTCAAATTCCTCATCTTCACCTTCAAAGCCCTCCACGGCTTTGCTCCTTCCTACCTCTGTGAGAGTGCACTGATAGGATCGCACGGTGGGCAGACAGGTGGCAGATACAGATTTTTACCCTGTGTTCTGTCAAGGATTTCCGAATTTCACACTTTATATGATATTAAATATCTTACCTGCATAACTTCTGTACAACCCAAATTGGGTCTTTTCTGTAAAATAAAGGAAGTTCAGTTGGTATAGATTTATTTGATGAGGATGGTTTTATACGGTTTTGCCAGTCACATTTTCTCTGTTCCCCAAACTGCTTTATATTCCCCTCCTCGCTCCCCCTCCCCATTAATATATTTTAACATTTATTTGGGGAAAGGGGAGTGACAGAATGGCTGTTTATCAAACTGACCCAAATACCTTACCTAATTCTGTGAGAACCTCCTCGTAACCTGTAAGAAAGCAGAATGTTGTCAGCTGTTATCATTAAGACATGTAGCTGTGTGCCCTGTGTGGTCTGTATGAGGTCTGGGTGTGCTGTAGTTGTGGTTTGGGTGGTATAGGTTTGGTGTAGGTGAGGTCTGGGTGTTATTTGGGTGCGGTGTCCCTCTGCGAGAGGCGATGTGGACTAATCTAGATCTTGAAACTGAGTGGACAGGTTGATTGATCGGGGGGGGGGAGGGGGGGTCAGTTATATATAAATATATGGGCTGCTGATCAGGCAACAAGATCAGAGTTTGCTGTGGACAAACACCATGTCACCATAATGTGGTCATCGTTAGTTGAAACACACTGATGTCCTGAGTCAAGAGGGACTCACACGAGGACATCACATGAGCATCCAGTCATGACAACTGACTGTTATTGGTCAGTAATCCGATTCCTTCACACAATATAAAGTGAGTATTTTACGACAGATGACAGTGTGGATGACACTAAGTAATGTAGTAAATACAATAACAGTGTATGTAGTATTTGGTCTATCAGAAACTTCCCCAGGTACAGTCACATACCATTCTCCAGTCACACACTAACAGCTGTTGTGCCCAGCGCCTGGGGCACAGGATTGGACTGACATCTCTACAACCTCAACATGTCATCTCAGCTTTAGTGACCGTGCAGAGGGCGATGAGCAGGAGTCGGGCTCAGTGCTGACACTCACTGTGTCTGGCATGTAGCTGTCTTTAGTGACTTGTTCATGTGGGAGCCTGGACAGCCAGTGTTGGTTGGCTATTCAACCATTGAGGGCATCACAGCCTGATCCTCTCCTCACCCGGTATTTACAGAAAGGCTGGGATGGGAGTGGGGGGGAATCCCTGAATGTGATGAGGAACAGTGACTTTGGCTTATTGTCTATCCATATCCGGGCCCTGAGGCCATGTGTAGAGCCCCCTCCCTCCCCGACTGAGATCAGATACCTCAGCACAGACCAGACTGGGACCTTCTGTCTGTACATCTTTGTGCTAAATCTGGGGTGGGATCTGAGCAGTTCTGAATTGTATCATTTATACTATATTAATGTCTTACCTGCATAGTTGTGGATTCTGGCCTTGACTGGAAATGAAAGAAAATTTAGTTAGAATCAATTTGTTCAATTGAGATTGTTTTATACAGTTGTGTTTATGCGTCATTACACAATCATTTTCTTTATTGCATTAATATTCCAGTCCTTTAGCTCAGTGGTTAGAGCACTCGCCTTGGAAGAAAGAGAGGAACTGGGTTTGGTTCCTGGTAGGGTGAAACGTTGGGCAAGTTTCCTTACTCCACTTGTCTCTGTTTACCTCGCAGGAAGTAGGAACCCGCTTGTTAGTCGATTAGTGGATCTCTTTCCGGGGGTAATAATTCCTTTCCCAAAAATAGTAATTTGGTGATTTATTCATGACTGTTTGTGTGACACTGCTGTCTGTGTGCAATTAGCAGCCGCGATTTGCCCAGAAAATATAGTCAATTCTCCTTGCAGTATATTCTGTGAAGCGCTTTGAGACGTCTCAACGAAGTGATGAAGCATTGTATTAAATCAAGTCTCTTACCAAACCCCACGAGAAGATCCTTGCAGCCTGAGAGAAAACACAAGTTTATCAGTGAGTCCACTTGACACAACCGTCTCTGCTACACCCACCCGTCCTATCACACATACAGTATTTATTGGGTACACATCTACAGTGTGATGTGTGCACTTTACACAACTGGAAATTAGACTGAAAATTAGGTTATGAGCGATATTTTGTTAATCAATTGATGAACCTGCATTTTGCTGATAATTTCTACACATCGTCAATTAGAGCAACTTCCTCCGCACACTGACAATGTGGGGTCTATAACCAGCCTGTAATGTGGGGTCTATAACCAGCCTGTAATGTGGGGTCTATAACCACAACAACAACAACAACAAGATTCCATTTATAAAGCGCCTTTCACGTCAGGAGGACGTCCCAAGGCGCTGCACAGTTGGGTCATGACCCGAGCAGGGGGGAAATGGTCAGGGTGAGGGGAGGGAAGGGAGGGAGCGAGGAGGGGGGAAATGGTCAGGGTGAGGAGAGGAAAGGGAGGGAGCGAGGAGGGGGTAGAGCGTCGAGAGGGGAGCTGAAGGCACGGTCAAAGAAAAAGGTTTTGAGACCGGCCTTGAAGGAGGAAAGGGAGGAAGCGGCGAAGGCACTGGGTGATGGAGTTCCAGAGCCTGGGGGCTGAGAGGCTGAAGGCCCGACCACCGATGGTAGGGCGGTTGGGGCGGGGGACGTGGAGCAGACCAGAGCCAGAGGAACGGAGGGTACGGGCAGGTAGGTAGGGGGATAGTAGGTTGGAGAGGTAGGAGGGAGCGAGGCCGTGAATGGCCTTGTAGGTGAGGATGAGGATCTTGAAATCAATCCTCTGGGGGATGGGGAGCCAGTGGAGGCGAGCGAGGGTGGGAGTGATGTGGTCCCGAAGCCTGGTGCGGGACAGTACACGAGCTGCAGAGTTCTGAATGACCTGCAGCTTGTGGAGGGAGGTGGCGGGAAGGCCGGCGAGGAGAGAGTTCCCATAGTCCAGCCTTGAGGTGACAAAGGCGTGAACCAGGGTTTCAGCAGCGTGAGGGGTGAGGTAATGCCGTAGTCTGGCGATGTTCCGGAGGTGATGGAAGGCGGTGCCAGTTGTGGTGCGGATGTGAGGGAGAAAGGACAGCTCAGGGTCGAACAAAACGCCGAGGTTCCTGACTGGCTTTGAGAGGTGGAGAGTGCAGCCTTGGATGCTGATGGTGTCAGCGCCTGAGGTGCGGAGGCGCTGACGTGAGCCAATCAGGAGGGCCTCGGTTTTTCGCACGTTGAGCTGAAGAAAGTTGTCTCTCGTCCAGGACTCGATGTCGGACAGGCAGCTGTCAGGACATCGGTGGTCGTGGAGTTGAGAGTAGAGGAGGAAAGGTAGAGTTGGGTGTCATCCGCATACATGTGGAAGTTAACTCCATGTCTGCGGATGATGTCACCAAGGGGGAGCATATAGAGGGTGAAGAGGAGGGGACCAAGGACAGAGCCCTGAGGGACACCACATGAGACAGTACGGGGGGTGGAGGAGAAGCCATTCGTCGAGACAAAGTGAAGACGGTGAGAAAGGTACGACCTAAACCATTCAAGGACAGTGCCTTGAAGGTTGAGGTGGGAGGACAAGCGGTGGAGTAGGATAGCGTGGTCGACCGTATCGAATGCTGCCGATAGGTCGAGGAGACAGAGGGAGCCCTGGTCACAGATGGTCAGGATATCATTGGTGACCTTGACCAGGGCAGTTTCTGTGCTATGGGCAGCACGGAAACCTGACTGAAGGGGTTCGAAAAGAGAATGGGTGGAAAGGAAAGAGCGCAGTTGGGAGGCGACAACTCTTTCCAAGACCTTGGAGAGAAAGGGGAGGTTGGAGATGGGCCGGTAGCTTGATAGCTGCGACGCATCAAGGGAGGGTTTTTTCAGGGTGGGCGTGATGATGGCAGTTTTTAATGGAATGGGGACAGAGCCAGAGGAGAGGGACAGGTTGATGATGTCAGTGATATGTGGGGCAAGAAAGTGGAGCTGGGAGATAAGGAGTGGAGTGGGGATGGGGTCAAGGGAGCAGGTGGTTGGTTTTAGGGATAGGATGAGTTCAGTGACAGAGGGTGGGGAAACGGGTACGAAGGTGTGTAGGGGAGGATGGGTAGGAGTCGGAGTGTGGGAGGGAAGGGGTGGGTGGTGGGTGGAAGTTGGAGGGGAAGTGACCGCGGAGCGGATTCCCTTGATCTTGGATTCAAGGAAATCCAGCATCTCCTCGCAGTGAAGGTTGGAGGAGATGACCTGCGCGGGGTGGCGGGGGGGACGGAGGAGTCGGGTTGTGGTGGAAAACAGTAGCCTGGGGTTGTTCTTCGCCTCCAGGATTATCCTGGAGTAGAAGGACGACTTGGCCGAGGCTAGAGTGGAGCGGTAAATTTTGAGGAGGTCCAGCCAGATTTGTCGGTGGACCGTTAGGCCAGATTTGACACAGGTGCGTTCAGCAGCCCGCACCTGGCTTTTCAGTGAGCGGAGGTGGGTGGTGTACCAGGGGGAGGAGCGGGAGTAGGAGACAGTGCGGGAAGTGATGGGGGCAAGAGTATCGAGTGTGGAGGAGAGGGTATTGTGGAGGAGGGAGAGAGGAGAAGAGGGGTCGGTGAGGGTTGAAGGCCAGAGGGAGAGGAGTTCAGAGGACTCCAAGGCATCGGTTAGGGATTGTGGGGGTAACTTCTTCCAAGGGCGGTAGAAGATGGTGGTGGGTCTGGTGGAGGTGGGGAGGGGGGTGGAGGTGGTGAAGGAGATGAAGTAGTGGTCAGAGATGGCCTTGTCGGTAATAGTGACATCCGAGACACTGAGGCCCCGGGTGATCACCAAATCGAGTGGGTGGCCGTGACTGTGAGTGGGGGAGTTTATGTGTAAGGAGAGGTTGAGTGAGGAGAGCAGGGAAGAGAAGTCTGTGGAGATGGAGCAGGAGGGGGTGAAGTGTAGGTTAAAGTCGCCCAGGATGATGAGGCGATCAGAGCAGAGGCAAAGAGATGTGAGGAGTGTTGAAATGTCAGAGATGAAGGTGGGAGAGGTTTTAGGGGGCCGGTAGAGGAGGAGGATTTTAAGGGAGAGGAATGAGGGGTGGGAGAGGGTGAGGTGCTCAAAGGAGGGGAAAGAGCCAGTGGAGTAGGGGGATAGGGCAAGTGGTGTCCTTGAGATAAGGGCAACACCACCGCCACGGCGGTTGGGGCGAGGGATGTGGTGGGAGGTGTAGCCGGGTGGCGTGGCCTCCGTGAGGGGGAAGGTGTCGCCTGGGGTGAGCCAGGTTTCTGTTAATGCCATGATGTCAACGTTCTCATCAAGGATGAGATCGTTGATGACCAGGGCCTTGTTGCAGAGGGAGCGGACATTTTGCAGTCCGATGTGGAGGGAGCGGTTGACAGAAGGGTGTGTGGGAGGGGAGGGGGGTCCAGGTTGTGAGGCTGGGGTGGGGGGAATGGGGCTAAGGGAGGAGAGGTTGACTCCCCGGGTCTGTGCCCGGGGTGGGTGGCGAGTGTGGTGGAGAATGGGGCAGTCGGTGTGGCTGCTGCTGGACAGCCAACGCCGAGTGCCACGGTGAGCCCGGCGGAGGATTCCCAGACTGGAGCAGACGGAGGTTGTGGGAGGGTCAAGTGGGGATAGAAGACGAGAGGGACGGAGAGAGAGGAGGAGAGAGCGGGAGAGATGCAGAGGGAGGAGGGTTTGGGGGGAGAGAGAAGGGGGGCGGGAGGGGGCTCGGGGGCTCGGGTCAAAGCGGCAGCCATAGTGCGCACGCGGGGACCGGGAGCGAGCGGTCAGGTGGATGGCATTATCCCGTAGATTGGGGCAGCGAACGCAACAGGACCATAGTGGGCTCTGATGTGAACCCTGGGGGGGGGGGGGGGGGGGGCGCAGAGGTTTTTTTTTTTCTTTGTTGCGTGCGCACGCACGCACCTGAAAACTAATCTATGCCGGCCTGTAATGTGGGGTCCGTAATCAGCCTGTAATGTGGAGTCTATAACCAGCCTGTAATGTGGGGTGTATAACCAGCCTGTAATGTGGGGTGTATAACCAGCCTGTAATGTGGGGTGTATAACCAGCCTGTAATGTGGGGTGTATAACCAGCCTATAATGTGGGGTGTATAACCAGCCTGTAATGTGGGGTCTATAACCCGCCTGTAATGTGGGGTGTATAACCAGCCTGTAATGTGGGGTGTATAACCAGCCTGTAATGTGGGGTGTATAACCAGCCTGTAATGTGCGGTCTATAACCAGCCTGTAATGTGGGGTGTATAACCAGCCTGTAATGTGGGGTGTATAACCAGCCTGTAATGTGGGGTAACTTACATTTACAACTGTCAACGACCTCCCACTCTGGAAAGAAACAGAAGTTTTAATTTAATAAGATTTTGCTTATAATTTCATCTTTTGTAGACTTCAATATATGTTACTTCTGAAATCTGTTGTTGGGATATATCAAAAGATCAATAGCAAATGGAAATAGTGGGGTAATCGGGTCACTTTGAAAGTCATTGGTGAGTCCAGACTTTACTTAGAGTATGATCTCACCAATGACACTGTGGAGTCCTGCAGCTCAGTGGTTGGAGCACTCCCCTTGCAAGCGAGAAACCTGGGCTCAATTCCCACAGGGAAAAACCATGGGCAAGTTTCCTTACTCCACACACCTGATAATAATCCCTCTAGAAAGGAAAATAATAATAAATTGGTCACTTCAATCCTCGACTGTTTGTGGGACGCTGCTGTGCGTAATTGACTGCAGCATTTCGCTCACAAATATACAGTAAATTCACTTTACTGTACATTGTGTGAAGCGCTTTGAAACATCTAGAAGATGTGAAAAGCACTATATCAAATGCAAGGATTATTATTATTGAGTAGATTCTTTCAAACACAGATTAGAAATGTTCTTTTAGGCAATAACATTATGGGATATAGTACAGAGGTAGTTTGGGACATATTTGTGTGCGACTGCCAGGAAGGTGGAAGGCAAACTGGATGGATATTGGGCTTTTTTCCTCAGCATTTCTTCTGTTCTACTGTGATCTATCGATGTAACTCAATATCTGGGTTCAGATCACACCAGGTTACAGAGTCTGACAAACTGATCACATTTGTAGATGTGAGATGACTGAACCTTTACATTGAAAGTTCACGTCAAACTTTGCTTATAATCTTAATATAATCGTATTTCTTACATTTAATTTATTATCTTTATCAGAGGTGATAATAATTGATCCTTTGAGAAGCAGCACAATTCTACATCAATAACATCAACAACAGTAAATGAGGATAAAGTCATCAAGTACCTGATTTGGTGAACTGTTTTTTCAGTTCTGAAAGGGAACAGTATATTTTTTGATTGTTTATTTGCACAAATCACCCCCCACTGTTACACACTGAACCTATTCACAGTCTTGTGATTCAGCTGATAAACAACCCTTCAGCACTGAGGCTTCAGGATCTCACCAAATCCCAATCAGAGTTTGTTTTCACCAATTAAAAAAAACACATGGACTTAGTTTTGATCAGAGTCTGACACACACACAAACCCATCACTGGGGTTAAGAGTCTCCAAACCAAACTATTCGGAGTTCCACAAACTGTGTATAGAGTTTCCGTGTCTGTCTGATACAGAATGAACCCTCTCCCCAGCGCCATGCTCCCGGGTTTACTAATGTTTAGACATGGGTTGGCCAGAAGCAAGGCTTGTGGTCCACAGAGGATGGATTGAGGGGAATTGCTCATGTTTTTCCTGCTGAAACCTCACAGCTTATCATTATCCAAAGTTCTCACTAACTCCCTTTCCCACTGACCCTTCCCAGAATCATCCTTTAAAACAAGGGGAGGCGCGATGAGAAGGAAACTTATTTCACGCTCCAGGAGATTAAAACTTACCCAGTGTTTTTTTCATGTATTTTTGGTCTAAAGAAAGAAACAAATATTGATAAACAATGTAAAGTTTCTCACGAGACTGAAAGTCATTGAGTGAAGACGGTTTGAATGTTGAAGTCAGTCGTCATTGATTGATTCACTTATGGGACATCATCACTGATGGAATTCCATCATAAACACTTAGTGCCAATAACACAATGTACTGTACCTTGTTTGGCAGATTTCAGTTCATTATCTTTAAAACAAAAGAAAAGGTTTTAGAAAATGTAATTTTAAATTTTTGAAAAAAAAGTTAACAAACTTATCTGGTTTATTTTATTCAGTTTCTTTATTTTCCTTTAAGCTCAAACTTTCCAAACTCACTGTGATAGGAGGATACGTGCTCACATCAAATGAAGGAAATGAAACCAGTGAACAAACCAAAAATATAAGATTTTCTTCCTCATCTATTTTTATTTCACAATTTGTGTTGTAATTCACATTAAGAATGGGGATTTTTTGCACTGTAGAAACTGATAAAACTGATTAGACATTTACAATCTCAATAAGTGAATAATGATAATAGTAATAATCCTTAACATTTGGTACATTACCCACAACAAACTCCATACCCCATCACTCCAGCCCTTGCCGGGCTCCACCGGCTCCCTATCACTGAACAGATCCATTTCAAGATCCTCACACTCACTGACAAATCACCTCATGTCCAGCACCTCCCTACCTCTCCGACCTGCTCACAACCCACTCCTCTACCCACCCCTTCATTTGGGCGGCTCTGGCTTTCTGCTCATCCCTGACTCCCCTCCGCCCCACCATTGGTGGCCAAGTCTTCAACCACTAACCACCAAACCCACAGAACTCCCTGTCTCAATCCCTCCATCTCACTCCCCACTCTTTGACCATTTTCATCGCACCTGAAGACCTTCCTCTTTAACCGTGTGTACGGTCATCTCCCCTTTCACCCTGACCCGGCGCATGGAGGCAGTTGTATCAATGTAAATTGTTGTTTCAGGTCACATTTTGGACAGAATCTAACTGAGTGGAATCTCATTCATAGACTCGTTTACATCATGTTTTTTAATTCATTCATTGTATCAGAATGATTTAATTTGTGTTAAAGTGTAAGTTTCACTTTCTCTCTACAGTCAAACACACTGAGATTCTCCTCATCTGCACAGAATTGTCACATGTTTCTTTATTCCACAGGAGATGGGTTTAGTTCAGGTTGTTCTGTGATTCTGTGTGTGTGCTTGTGTGCTTGTGTCTGGGTGTGTGTATATGTCTGGGTGTGTGTGTATATGTCTGGGTGTGTGTGCATATGTCTGGGTGTGTGTGTATATGTAAATGCTGAGGTCACCAGAGAGCACAGGAAGGGCTTGTGGTAGGTCTCCGAGGACCTGACTCTCGGGAGGCTGAGGCTCGGGGATGTTTGTAATGTTGTTACTTACCCAGATTTTTAAATCCCTTTTTTAGATTTTCATAAACTGGAAAATAAAAACACAATCGTCAGTGTTGTCCTCATCAATAAACTGTAGGACATTTCCCTTAAATGTAACAGAAACAATCCAGCAGAAATGTTAATACAATATTTTATTAAATATGAGTCAAAATAACAGTGCACTAAAGGCTTTGCTTCAGGTAACTTCTCATTGAAATCAGCTTTTAGTAATGGAAAAGAGGAACAGGAGGAGACAATTCAGCCCATGAGCCTCTTCCACCAATTTTAATCTTTTAAATCCAATTCCCTGCTCTTTACCCAAATATTTCTACTATCCGAGTCTCTGTCTCTCATTTAAAAATTCACATTGATTCCTTCTCCACAGATTTCTGGGGCAAAGAATTCTACATCTTGACATCCCTCTGTGTGAGCAAATCCTTCTGCAGTTTGGAAACGACAAGACATAATCTGATTAACATTTCCAGCCTTTTATCCCACAACTTCTCTTTATGTGTGAGAGACAATAGACAATAATAACAACAAACTTATATTTATATTGTGCCTTTCACGTTCAACAACAAAAAATCAACAAAATACCCCCGGCTACATCTCCCTTCTCATAACATAAAGCTCACCACCTACTCCCTCAACAACCTCCCCACCCATCTCCTGACCACCCAATTGCCCTTCCTCTGCCCACTACTGGCCAACACAGTCACTTTGTCCCTCAACATCATCCACAGACATGGCCTTAATTCCCACATGGATGTGGATGACCCGAAATCTACTCTCGACCCCAGGTCCCTGATGATCTGTCCAGTTGATTGTGAGATATCAAGGCCTGGATGAGCCAAAATTTCCTCCAACTCAGTATAGATCCCTCTTGGTGACATCATCCATAGACATGGAGTCAACTCCCACATATATGTGATGATACCCAACTCCACCTCCACCTCGACTCCAGGATCACTGCTGTCCTCACAGAATGTCTGTCAGACCTCAAGTCCTGGATGAGAGCTAACTTTCTCCAGTTGACCAAGGCCGTCCTGCATTGCTCCTGTCAATGCCTCCATAACTCGTGCACTGACAGCATCACCCTTCATGGCTGTACTCTACACATCATGGAGCCAATGTGGAACCTCAGTGTCCTGTTCAACTCTTAACAGACCTTCATACCCCATATCGTTGCCATGACCCGCTTCACCATTCCCCACCTCCGCAACATTGCCCGGCTCTACCACTACTCTCGAGACCCTCATCCACACGTTCATCACATCCAGGCTCAACTACACAAACTCCCTGCTTGTCAGCCTCCCCAACTCCTCCTTCCACAGGCTGCAGATTGTCCAGAAGTCTGTAGCCTCTGTCCTCTCCTGCAATGCACCGCGAGATTATCACCCTAATGATCGCCCGGCTCCACATGACTCATAGGATCCTGATCCTCACCTCACCTCCTCAGCCTTGCTACTCCCTACCTGTGACCTCATAACCTCCTACCAACCTGTCGCTCCCTCTACTCAGCATCCTCCGGCCTGCTTCATGTTCCCCGCATTGCCTACCCCAACATCGGTGGGCAAGCCTTCAGCCTCTCTGGCCCCACCCTCTGCAACTGCATCCCACCTCACCCCCTCTCATGCCGCCTTCAAGATCCGACTCAATTTGTTTGTTTAGATAAGGCTGAAGCCATCACCTTTGGCTCCTGCCAACACCTCCTCTCTTCTGACTCTGAGCTCCTCAGCCTCCCCGGCCTCTCTCTCTAATTCTCTCAGTGACAACCATGGCATGTGGTTTGATCCCCAGCTTTCCTTTCTCCCTCACATGCATTGCCTCATCAAAACCGCCTTCATTCACCCCCATCACATCACCCGCCTCCGCCCTTACCTCACACCCAACACCTCGGAAACACTCACTCTCGCCTTCATCACCTGCCGCTCAGACATTGCCAGTGCTCTCCTCACTATGTTATGGATTATATAAAGGATGAAAGTAAAGATTATATTTTGGGGGAAACTTAAAATCATTTATTACCTTTAACTTTTTTCAATCGTTTTCTGCAGAAGAACACCAACACACCAACTGCTCCAAGCACAAGGCTGAACGCCACAAGGAAAGCCACCATCCAGTCTGGGTCTCGGTGGAAAAGCTCCTCTGTAACATAAAGAACATTTTGTATCATATTTAATAATAACCCTTTCATTCTTTCATTTGATATAGAACTTTATCACATTTGTATGAAGTCTCAAAAGCGCTTCACAGGCGTTAAAGTGATATGTAGTGACTTTTTATTTGTACGCAAACATGGCAGCAAATTTGCGCACACAATGTCCACAAACAGTTATGCAATGAATGACCAATTTATCTGTAGGATTGTTGGCCAGGATACCTAGAGAAAATTCCTTCTCTTCATGAAAAGTGTCAGAGGAACTTTAAAATCCACCTGAACAGGAACAGACAAGTCCTCGGTTCAACGTCTTATCTGAAGGACAGCGTCTCCGACAATCAAACCCAGGTCTCTCGCTTGTGAGGCTCTAACCACTGAGCTACAGGACTCCACAACTGACTGGAAACACTAACAGCGAAAAGCCACACACACTAAATTCATGTATTTCAATAATACATGAATTGCTGTCACTGTCCAGTGCCTTGGGACATCCTCCCAACGTGAAAGGCGCTATAGACATGTAATCTTGTTGTTGTTGTTGTGTAATTCATTATTTGTAATTACAATAGCAAACTATCCTATGATGAAAGTGGCTGAAAGAAAATCAGAATGAAAGCCTCAGATTGAACATTGGGAGCTGCTGTGGATTGTTCCACATCACAATATTAACTGTAATACGTTGCATTGAAGTGTTTATATTTTTCCAAATGTTTCACGGACCTGATACCTGGATCTTTGCCTTCTTTTCCTCCAGAAAGTTTCCTGTCAGACACGTGAATCTGTCTGTAGAATCTCTGGTTATATCAATGCTACTTTCACATTTCCAACAGTCTTCAGACCCCTGAGTGCATGTTTCAGTCTTGGCTTTCACCTCTGCTCCACTCCTATCAAACCAAACCACACGAGGTTTGGGATACCAGCTTTTTGATTTGCAGGTGAGTTTAAGCCTCGAGTCCTGGTAACCTGCCATGGAAATCAAGGGCAGCCGTCTGCGATCTGTAACAATAATACACTGTGTTATCACCAAATGCAATGAAAGAACTTTTGTAACAATTGATCAAATCAAAACATTCAGTACTTTACACCTAATCACTCACGTGTACCATCAAGTGAATGGCCAATTAATCTGCAATACACTACATTCTCCATCAGTTTATGGGATCTTTAATGTCCACCTGAACAGACAGGTGCAACCTGTCAATTTTCACGTCTCACCAAACGTCAGCCTCTAACACTGAGTGTCCTTCAGTGACAGAGTGTGGTATCAGCCTGAACTATGAGCTCAGGTGCTGATGTGGGGCTTCAACCCACAACCCTCTAAACCAAACAACAAGAGTCCTTCCAATGAACAATATTATCCTTCACTTGATATAGAGCCTTATCACGTCTTCGAGACATCTCAAAGCCCTTCACAGAATACACTGTACAGTGAATTGACTGTGTATTTTGTGGGTGTTACGCGGCAGCCAATTGCCCACATTGAGCCAGAATGACAAATCATTACATTGTGCAGTACACACGGGGCTCTGGTAGAGATTATGGTGCATTTCTGAGGCTGGAAAATATATTGACTGGGACGGGGTGGGAATATGAGCTTAGAATAGGGAAATGTACAGTTTAAACACAACAAACCTTCAACTTTCACAACCACTGTTGTTTCACCAAAATCTGTTGTTGATCCCACAAAACATGTGTATTCTCCTTGGTCTGAGCACCTCACGTTCTTCAGTCTGAGAGACACGTTTCCTCGAGTCATCCCGTCTCTAATGAGCTCGGTTCTTCCTCTGTAGGCTTCATGTTGCTGATCAGGTTGATCCTCTCCACTTGTACATAAATGCACCACATCCCCAGAATCAGATTTACTCCATTCCACGTCCATCATATCTGCAGCCACTCCTGGTGTTAACCAACATCCCAGAGTGACATCGTTCCCCAGAGCTGTGAGGACAGGCTGACGTGGACCATTAACTATAAAAGAATCTAATGAACAATACAGTATCAATTATTAAGCTGTTATTATGATTTGTTTCTATTTAAATGTGAAACTATGAGATTCAATAGTTTATTTGTGTCACTGTCACTGACGGGTTTACAATGTCTGGTTTTCTGAAGCCCTGAAAGTCTGAGATATGAAGTGACCTGAGTCTGCACAGAAACTTCGAAAACAACTTTTAAAAACGCGGTGGATAGGTATTTGAGGAGGACAGGTTTGCAGGGTTATGGGGAAAGGGCTGGGGTGTGAGATTGACCTTACATTACTCGATTCAAAGAGCCGCACAGACTCAATGGGTCAAATGACCTCTTTTTGTGCTGTACGATTCTACGATTCTATGAAATGTCTTATTACAGAAATATATGTTATTTGGAAATGTGCAGCAATGTTATCATTTAACAGGTGAATGTATATCACCAGTTTATATCCTCATCAGTGGACACATTTCACCCGATCACAAGAGAGGTTCAGATGAAGAAAGTCCTTCAGCCCATTTGACCTCATCTTCCCAGAATACTCACCTCCCATCTTCCCATCTCAGCTTCACCTGATACATTTACTCTCGGAGTTCAGTTCTGTGAACACGGACAGCTCACAACCTTTGCAAATATAGTTTGAAATACGGCTCCAGAGTAAACACAGCCAGAATGTCCTCTCGTTCAGCTCATTAACACAGTCAGGAATTGTCTTTTCTCTCACAAATGAGATACAGTTGTTCACCACTGAACAACGGGAGGTGATCAGGAGAAGCTGGGAAGTCTATACCAGGTTTGATGAGGACCTTTCAGCCACAGTTATGGGCTGATAGACTGAGGGAAGTTGATAAAAGCAATACATTTCTGGGGCAGGTTCAGCTGCAGTGATTACAAGCTCCAGCTTCCAGTTACAGTGAGTGGATTCTTTATCAGAAACAAAACTATTCTCTACTTTGACAAGTGAGCTAATCTTTTAGTTGCCTCTGTAATAAATAGCAATGTTAATGTGAAAGTGATTAGGCAGAAAATGACTGTGTTGCTCACCAGAAAGTGAAGCCGGAATCTCAAACAGGAAAATCACAATGAAAATCTTCTCCATCATCTGTCAGGACATCGAGCAATGAAACACGAGGAAATCAACAGACAATTCATAATAAATTAATAACACACAATAACACCAGATCTGTGTCACAATCCAGATCAGCATTTGAACAAAGTGTTCTTCCAAAATTGGGGAATAACGTAATTGCCTGAAACAGGTGGGACAACAACAGCAATTTGGATCTTTGACATCCACATGACAGGCAGACAGCACCTCAGCTTAACCTCACATCCAAAGGACATCACCTCCAACAATGCTATGTTCCCACAGCATATACTGCGAGGGGGAGTATCAGCCTAAACTGTGAGGTCAAAGTCCTAACGTGGGACTTGAACCCGCAACCCTTTGATTCAACAAAAACAAGATTACATTTGTACAGCGCCTTTCACGTCGGGACGATGTCTTAAGGCGCTGGACAATGTACAGCATTTCAGACCTGAGCTGAGGTTGGGGGCGGAGAAGGGAGGGGAGGGGAAGGGGGTGGCCGTTGGCATAGTCGAAGAGGAGGATCTTGAGGCAGGACTTGAAGAGGCTAAGGAGGGGGTGAAGCAGAGTAACTGGAGGATGGAATTCCAGAAGTTGGAGGCAGAGAGGCTCAAGGCTCTCCCGCCAATAGTGGAGCGGGTGGATCGGGGCTGTTTTTTTTCAGGGACAAGAGTGCTGACCGCTACATCACCCCTCACCCCAGCTTAGAGTCAGGCATCACCACTGTTAAGCGCTCTGAGACGCTGCTCTGCATGGAGGGCGATATATAAGTTGCTCTTGTAGTTTCGGCTAAACCAAGTCAGTGGGATAACAGTAAAAATAAAATGATTATTTTTAATCACAATAAACTTTCCATATCGGGAAACAATTTCTGACACTGATTCGCTTTTAACTCGAAACAGTAGAACGTTTTGCTGGTTCAGGCACCAAACTCACACAGAGTCTGTTTGTCTGAGCTTCAACCCTCAGCCCTTGTCAAGGTGACCTCGGAGAATAATAATCCTGACATCTGACACAGCACCTTCTACATCCAGGGACGTCTCAAAGCGCTTCACAGGAAATACTGTAAACACCAGTGACCTGACAGCAATCAGACTGGGGAAGGAACATGTTATGTGTAACTGCTGTAATGTGCTCCTCCCCTCCCCCTCCTCACAGCCGCTCCTTATTCACCCCAACATGGTGCAGGTCAGAGAGGAGCTCCCATTCCCTTCCCTCCTCACTTGCCTCCGATTCTCAGCGATTAAACCACAAACTGGGAATAAACTGACTGCAGAGCTCCCGCTTTAGTACTGACACAAACCTGACGATACAGAACATTTATTTCATATCTAAACTCCACATCACCACATGTGAAAGTGAAACCAGTGAATCCTGTAACTGGTATCACAGTAAAGTTAAGGCGTTATTTTAATGGTAAAATAATAGTTCATTTCAGAAAACAATTTCCGACACTGACCTGTTTAGGTTTTGCATTGAAAGAGAAGAATCTTCACTATTAACAGTAAATTAAACCTGTGTCCGGGATGGCGATGTCCAGAGGCTAATCCTGTGACTGAGCTCAGTTACTACCCTCACACAGCGACTGAGCTCAGTCACTAACCTCACACAGTGACAGGGGGTTGACTGGTTGTGTTTATTGCAGTGTAGGGTTTGTGTTCGATGTCTCGGGGTGTTTTGTTAGTGTAATTATATGTGTTTACGGTGCACATTGGGGTGACATCTGTAAATGGAAGTGCCCCTTATCAGGGTGTGTGCAGTCACACATTTCCCCCCCAAGAAATGTGAGCACATCCCGCAACGGGCAGCAGATCCCGGGGGGGGGGGGGGGGGGAGCCTTGGTCCCTCCACCAAAGTGGAGTGCGCAATGGCAGCCCCTCCCCCCCAACCCCCCACCACAAGGGGTCGGGG